GGCACACGGTCGCACTCGCAGGAGGGACACGGGCAGGGCACACGGCCGCACTCGCAGGAGGGACACGGGCAGGGCACACGGTCGCACTCGCAGGAGGGACACGGGCAGGGCACACGGTCGCACTCGCAGGAGGGACACGGGCAGGGCACACGGCCGCACACTCAGCAGGGACACGGGCAGGGGACACAGGCACGTCACACAGCCACACACACACGAGGGGGGCACGACCAGACACACCCCACAAACAGCGCCGCGCACCCCTTAGGGACACACCCCTCCGAACACGGACACGCACCCCACGAACAGAATGGGCCGTACCCACGGGCACAACCCTCCCCCAGGCAACCGCCCCCAAGAATCCCCCTGCGCACCCCACGGCACGCGGGCGCCCAGACGCGCGGGAGCGCAGCCCGCCCTCCACACAGCTTTGTTCCCAGAACTCGGGAGCCCTTCCGCGCCCTCGGCCTCGGTCACGGGAAGCTCTCCACCGCCGGGGCTTCGGCGAGCCGCCCCGTCGGGCTCCGGGCCTCAGCCGGGCGGCGGGGCAGCGAGGAGAGTGGCGGCCCCAGGGGCCTCTGTGAGATCTCCCTACCGCCCCCCCAACCCCACGCGGATCGCGGACGCCCAGGGCCCACCCGTCCCTGCCACATGGCCGCGTTCCCTGCCCTCCGCCCCCCTCCTCCCGCCTTCCGCGTCCCCCGCGTCCCCGCGCCACACCTGGAGCCGGCGCGGCCGCCCTCGCTTTCCGGGCCTTGGAACATGTCGCCCGCCGCCACCCTCAGCTCGCCGCGCGCCGTTCCCGCCTGCTCCGCGCAGGTACCAAGCCGCCCGCCAGCGCCCATTGGCCTCCAAGACGCCAATCTTTCCTCCGCAGCCTATCGCGGCGCGGTCCCCGCCCCTCAGGCCCACCCCCAACGAGTTAGACTTTGAACAGCCGGCACTACGCCCACAGCGGATTGGGGGAAGGCGACGCCGCTCGAGGAGCGGGAAGCTCCCATTGGGCGGCGGGCTGGGCGGACCGTGGGGCGGCCGCGCCCTCGGGAGGAAACCTGGCCTGGTGGAGGGAGCGCGCCCACCACTGGGGCCGCACCTGGGCGGCACCTGCTCGCCCAACCACAGTCCGCAGGTGCTGGCCCCGAAGAACAGGCACAAAGCACAGTCCTTAGATCAACATTAGTATGTATTTATGCACAATAAAAACATTTACAAGTTGAACTGGAAATTTAAACAGAAGTTTAACAGCTCTTGTTTATTATATTAAATAACCAAAACACCTTTTATTCCCAAAATTGGTAAAGAATAAATAATATAATTTACAATATGGTACAAAAAATAACCAGGAAAGGCAGGCATTCTGCTTTATACATACACTGTATATGCATATTTATAATCTATAAAACAAATTCACATCTGAAACGAGCAGAGGCCTCGCTATGGCTTAACTGAGAAGGGAGAGAAGGGGTGCAGGGTGTGGGAGGCAGGGCCAGGGGCTCGGCTCCCCACATCTCACCCACCCCAAGGACGCGCAGCCACTGTGACATCAGCAGAGCGCTGACAGCCGCAAAAGGTGTGCTGTGGGTTTCTTTCCTTGGTTTTAAATTACTCTTTCCTTGTTTCCTTAAGACAAAGTGCCGTATTTCCTGACAAATGCATCTGCTAGAGCCCAAGGTCCTCCTCCCTCCTTCCGGTGTCTTATGCCCCCCAGCTTTCTTTGCAGAAGTTGTTTGAATTCAATGCTGTGATCTAATTAAAGATGCTATCAAACTGGCCGGCGCGGTGGCTCACACCTGTAATCCCGGCACTCTGGGAGGCCTAGGCAGGCGGATCACAACGTCAGGAGGGTGAGACCATCCTGGCCAACATGTTGAAAGCCTGTCTCTACTAAAAATGCAAAAAGTTAGCCCGGTGTGGTGGTGCACGCCTGTAGTCCCAGCTATTTGGAAGGCTGAGACAGGAGAATCGCTTGAAGACAGGAGGCAGAGATTGCAGTGAGCTGAGATAGCACCACTGCACTCCAGCCTGATGACAGAGTGAGACTGTCTCAAAAAAAAAAAAAAAAAAGCTATTAAACTAAAGAGGTCATCCAACAGAAACGAGGTCATGGCCTCCGATGCCCAGCACCTGGTAGTGGGGGCAAAGCAAGGAGACCAACTGCAGAAACGCCGCCAAGACCCCACTCCCTGAACTGGCACCCTCCAGCTACAAGACACAGAAGGGCGAAACAGCCAGGAAGCCATGAACTCGGTGTCCTTGGAGGCACGCAATGCTCGCTCATCACTGCACATCCACAACAGAGTCGAGGCCAGAGGACTAACTTCCCTGCACCACAGATGCTCTGTCCCAATCTCCAGAAAAGGCGGATCAGCAAAGATCCCAGACAACATAAGAGAGTTTGGGAAAGCTTTTTCTAAGAAACTGATCTCATCTTAATTATAGCATGCTCAAATGCACAAAGGAAGCCACAGGCTCATGCTGAGATGATCGCTGCTTCCTTTGGAAAGGCAGAAGATACAGAAAATGGAAGGCTTCTCTGTTTGGATCTTTCAAAAATTCCAGCCATTAACAGTTGCCTATTTTTGTACATCAGTATTCATTTAGGCGAGGAGAAAATACATCCATTGTTTTTCTCCAACAAATGACACCATTTTCCCTTAACGTGGCAAGCAAATGTGTATCACCTGTCTAGTTACTAGAGAACCAGAATCCTCTAAAACCCTGTCAGCTTTCTTACAAGAGACGAGTCAGTCTGTCCTCCTCCCTAACCCATCTATCTACCCACTGGGTGGCCATATGACTGCAGTCATTGCTTGGTTCTACCCTGCAGAACCAAGTGGTAGATACTGTCTAAAGAGTCTACAAAGGTAGACCCTGACTTCAAAGCTTCACCCTACTTGGGAGTAACAGGTGCCCTGACAGGCAGTTCATGAACCCTGCTGTCCCTGGCACAGTGCATGCAGCTTAAAGCTGTTATGACTTGGCATCTCTGGTCTAGCCTGTGGGAGTATGAGAAAGCTAGCAGTGGCCTCAACTCGGCCTGGTAGCCTAACCCTGACACAGCAAAGTCAGATGCCCGGAGGAAGATCTACTTGTCTTTCTCTGGCTCCAGGAGATGCTAATTTCAGAAGCTGATATATTAAGCATAAAACACAAGCTAGTTTAAAGATGCTGCGGCTCAAACACTGCTGTCTCCCTCCCAATCAAGTGGCACCATGTTTTTTTTTCTGCCTCCAAGAGCTTTGGGACTGTTCGCTTAAGATCTCATGTCAAGGTCTGAATGAGGGAAGCCAGCTCAGGCAAAAGCTTTATGAAAAACTCGTGAGACAGAAGAAGGAAGCTCTTGCCTGGAAGTCCACTGTCCTCTCCACGTCCTCCCAATGGTCTACAGTGGCTGTGGTGGACTGGCGAGACTGCAGGATGGAGGGTGTCCACCTGCTTGTCCACACCCAAGGTCTTTCCCCTCTTTTCACCTTCTCCATTGTGGAGGGGGAGAGAAACAGGTGAGGGGCCAGGGCTGGCCTTACATGCCACATGTGTGAGGGGACAGGAATGGTGGGGAGTCGAAGAGTAGGTCCAAGTGGGTTAGGAAAGCACAATCAATCCTGACCACTGTGTGGGATTAGACAGGAAGGGAGAGATGGCGGCAGAGGCATGGCCTGCCCAACACCTCTGTAGCAGCTCCAAGCCACACTGGATGTGGCTGGACAGTGACCCATGTGCTTGGAGCCCTTGTTAGCTCCATCCTGGGAAAGACTGGATGTTGGGCAGTCTGCAGTAGGAACGCTAGCCACCCTCGGTAGGAATGCTGACCACCTGAGGGGGTGCAAGGAGGAAGACCACCAGGAAGGCATACATTTGGTGACGTCTAACCACATCCAGATGTCTGGGCCCTTGCATGAGTGTCCCAAATGGAAAGGAGACACAGCTATCTCAAGGCAAAGGTACGAAGGGACTAAACACACGTCAGGCATGCCCACATCCACGCCCACGAGACACTTTCCCTGCAAAGGTGGACTTGTTCTAAGTGCCAAATAGTCACAGACTGAGTTTCAGAACTTATCAGGAAAGTTTTTGCTGTAATCGTATTAGTGCTTAGAGGTCACCCCAGTAGAGACAAATGACACCTTAGGTCACCTGAAAGCTTGCAAAGGGACACAGGAAGGAAACCAACTACAGAGGGGACTTTGTTCTTCCTCTTCCATGTCTCCTAATCCTTAAAACACAAGAAAAACATTTTCAACCAGCTTAGCAGGATCCCATGTAAAGTCCACACAACCTGCATAGTACAGGACTCTTGCTGCCCCCACTTCCTGTTCAGAGAGATCAAACAAAACCTCTAGACAGGGGAGGCACCAGCCCAGGGCCCCAGGACTCCTCAGCAGCCTGCAATCAGCATCCATGCGCTTGCTGCCTCAGGGTGTGACACCATGCGGCACAAGCCCAGGCCACAACCAACTGTCCTGCCCGTTACATTCCACAGAGGGTACAGCTGAAGCATGGCACAGGTTTGGCAAAAATCAAGCAGCAGGAGCTGGGGCCTCCCTGCAGAGTGGGAGATCACAGCTCCTAGCACGGGGCAACTATACCAAGGCACACACACTCCCTTGTCTCAGAAAGAAACACCACCATTACATCCAACACAACAATCAAGGCAGAGCTTGGGCTGAAATGCGATCACTATGTAGACCCTAACGTGGGCCCAGACGTGGTGAAGAACTGCTCCAGCACCACAGCCATTTCTAACGTCGGCCCTTCCCAAGAGCTTGCCCTGGTCTCCTGGGACACCACTGCCTGCTGCTCGTGGGGAAGCAGCTCTATGACCACATTCCTGCCTGTTGCACAGTCATGGGTGCGGAGATGCCTCTGTTCAGATCATCCTCTGGGGCTCCTGGGCTTGATCTGTTTTTCTCTAGCTGGAAGAGGGCTTCATCTGCCACCAGGACGTGTGGTCACTGGGACAGGTCACTGACAGGGGGGCCGCCTCCACCACCATCAAACAGAACTTCTCGGCGGCCAGGCTCAGCAATGGACAGCTCTTGGGCCAGGTCGTTGAACCGAGAAATATAATCGATGCTGTTCTCATTCATCATGCACACCAGCTGGGAATCCACAACCTGCAGGACGAGGAGACAGGAAGGAAAAAGTCACTATGATCTGCTGGGCCTTCAGTGGAGGGCGGCTCCCTACACAGGACAAGAAGCTCCCACTGACTCCTGCTGCAGGAACCTGGCTGTGGACGGCAGCACAGGCTCTCTGCAGAATCTCAGAATCATCTGTCGTCTGCCCACATACTCTTTAGATAAGTGCTAGAAGACAGCCTACTGTGCAGGGCACACCTGATGGCTGGGATGAGGGTGCCAGTTCCCTCCTGCCATGAGACCTAAGGGGAAAGACACCCAACAGGCAAGTGGACAGTACACAGCAAACACAGGGACTAGGGGCGGCCTGTGGAGACAGAAGAGTGATGGGGAGAGAGTGTGCAGGGGAAGGAGGCCAGTGAGGGTGCTCCAAGGACTGGGATCTGAGCAGGAGGTAGGGTGAGAACCGAGGACACGTGGGAGGCACGTTCCCATCAGTCCCAAGGACACGTGGGGGGCACATTCCTGTCAGAGACATGAGGACAGGTGGGGGGCACAATCCCATCAAGAGTCCTAAGGACATGTGATGGGGGCATGTTCCCATCAGTCCTGAGGACACATGGGGAGCATGTTCCCTTTTTTTTTTTTTTTTTTTTTTTTTGGGGGGGGTTTTTCTTTTGTTTTCCCGGGTTATGGGGACGTGGGCGCCTCGTGGCCCCCCCCAACCCCCCCCCCCCGGGGTTCGGCCGTTTCTCTGCC